TCTCTCTCTCTCTCTCTCGCTCTCTCTAGATACACGCGCTCTCTTTCTCTCTCTCTCTCTCTCTCTAAACACGCTCTCTCTCTCCCTCTCTCTTTAGAGATACTCGCTCTCTTTTCCTCTCTCCGTCTCTAAATACGCTCTCTCTCCCTCTTTCTCTAAACACGCTCTCTCTCTCTCTCTCTCTCCCTCTCGCTTTCTCTCTCTCTCTCTCTCTCTCTCTCTCTCCCTCTCTCTTCCTCTACACACACGCGCGCGCGCGCACACATATATACCGCACGGGCGTGCTCGCGCGAGAAACGTGTAACACAGGCCCGCCGCACCCTTTGTGCTAAAATTAGAAGTGACGGAGCGTATACTCACTTCGTTGGGCTTCGAGCTTTTATTCACTGGCGTTTAGACGTAACGTGTTGCGGCGTGCTTTCAATGGCACAACGAACAGCGACGGGGGCTGAGAGAGGTGGAGGAGGACGGCCGACGGTGGATCGGGACCGTGGACGACGGCGGTCGAGCAACGGAGACGGGAACACCCGTGCGCGGTGGACACGGGGGGGGAACAGGCGGGAGGAAGATGGAGGCAACGATATGGAAAAGGGAGGATCGGATCGCGACGAGGCAAAAAGAGGAAAGGCGTAGTCCCGCGGAGAGATACCGGGCAAACGGTAGAAGGGAAGCGGTTCGTTTCGATAAAGATATCGACGGCTAAAGAACAAGGTTGAAGGGCGCAAGGGGAACGCGCGACAAAAACGCGCGTCAGAGAAAAGCTAATCGTTCGGGACGCTGGAGTTTCAAAGAAATACTTCAGCGGGCTTCACAGCGGCTACTCTCTCTCTCTCTCTCTCTCTCTCTCTCTCTCTCTCTCTCTCCCCCCCTCTCTCTCTCCCTCTCTCTCTCTCTCACTCTCTCTCTCTCTCTCTCTCTCTCTATCTATATCTCTCTCTCTCTATCTCTCTCTCTCTCTCTCTGTCTCTCTCTCTCTAACTATCTATATCTCTCTCTCTCTATCTCTCTCTCTCTCTCTCTGTCTCTCTCTCTCTAACTATCTATATCTCTCTCTCTCTATCTCTCTCTCTCTCTCTCTGTCTCTCTCTCTCTAACTATCTATATCTCTCTCTCTCTATCTCTCTCTCTCTCTCTCTGTCTCTCTCTCTCTAACTATCTATATCTCTCTCTCTCTATCTCTCTCTCTCTCTCTCTGTCTCTCTCTCTCTAACTATCTATATCTCTCTCTCTCTCTCTCTCTCTATATATATATATATATATCTCGCTTGCTCTCTCTGCCTGCCTTCTATTTTTTATTGGCAGTTTTATTTACTCAAAAGGCTCCCGCCTATCCTGCCGCACGCCGATCCAACCTGTCCGCCTGCCACCGTAAAAGGCCAGTTGTGTGCTCGAGCTTTAAAACTTTTTACCGGCTCCTTCGGGCTCGTCTTTTTTAGTAGGCACGCGTCGGGAAATCCGGGAGATCTGGCGGACGACAAATCCGGGGATACCGTGATACACGATTCGAGGATTTATTCGTGGCGCACGGTCACCGTAAATTCTCCCCAATTCCCCTTCGGCTTGTAAACAAAGGTGGACAATTTCTTTTTTAGTTCTCATTTACATGTTTATGGTTGGTTGAATTGATTTTTTATGGCTAGTAGAATTAATTGCTTTTGTAGTTGGTGGAATTTTTTTTTTGTAGTTGGTAGAATTAATTTGTTATAGCTATATAACTATAATTATAATATAATTATATATAATTAATATAATTATATATGTAATTATAGATATATAATTTGTTCTAAAAAGAAATCTTTTTATAGCTAGTAGGATTAATTTTTTTGTAGTTGGTGGAATTCATTTTCTATAGTTGGCAGAATTCATTTTCTAGAGTTCTAATCGTATCTGCTCTTCGCAAATTGTTCTAAAAAGAAATCTTTTTATAGCTAGTAGGATTAATTTTTTTGTAGTTGGTGGAATCAATTTTTTGTAGTTGGCGGAATTAATTTTTTATAGTTGGCAGAATTAATTTGTTATAGTTCTAATCGTATCTGCTCCTCGCAAATTCTTCTAAAAAGAAAACTTTTTATAGCTAGTAGAATTAATTTTTTTGGAGTTGGTGGAATTATTTCTTTGTAGTTGGCAGAATTAATTTGTTATAGTTGGCAGAATTAATTTCTTATAGTTCATAGAATTAATTTGTTATAGTTCTAATCGTATCTGCTCCTCGCAAATTGTTCCAAAAAAGAAATCATCCTTAATTTTCATTTAAGATTGTTTATTCGGCAACGTTCCCTATTTATCGCCGCGTTCGTCGTTGTTAACTTTTTATTCGGTTTTACGGCCGGCGTGCTGGCGCGGTGGTAATCGCGAATGCACGAAAACCGGTGGCGAAAGTGTGGCCGACGTTCTTCACGCGGAAACTGTGCGTAAAGCGGAACGCAACGGCGGAACGGCTTGAACGATAAAAAAGAAAAGTTCAAAGCTGCGCGATTAAAGGCCGCGGTGGAAATTTGTCCGTCGTTGAGCGGGAAAACGAGAAATTTTCGCCGGGGATTCGGAACTGTTCGTTCGCGATCAACCAACGTGGAAATACGTATTTTGTACATAGTTAACAATTCGTAGTCGCGTGCGGCCAATCGTATTAATCATTCCGCGTTTCTACATTCGTCTTGCTAATTACTAATTAGCATCTCTTCGGAAGCATTTTCGCTTTAACGGTGTCTCCGTCGATCCCCCTCCCCCTCCCGACCCTTGGCCGACCAAGTTTCGCGTACTTTCCCAATTAAAACTATCTCGGCTGTCAAACGTCTGCATTTAGACGGGAAATGTTTAGAGCGGTTCCATTGGGTTCATCGAAATATGTTGTTGCTTCTTTGAAATGGAAAACGGTGACTGTCGAAATACGAAATGCGACAGTAGTGGACGTGGTTCAATTTCAAACTGTTGCTTTTGACCTAATCTGTCGCTTTGTACCATATATATTATTATTCTATTATTCTATTATTATATTACTATATTATTATACATTATTATATTAGTATATTAGTATATTATTATATTAGTATATTAGTATATTATTATATTATTATAATATTATATTACTATATTATTATATTATTATATTACTATATTACTATATTACTATACTATTATATTATTATATTGTTATATTATTATATTACTATATTATTATATTATTATATTACTATATTATTATGTTACTATATTATTATATTATTATATTACTATATTATTATATTACTATATTACTATATTATTATATTACTATATTACTATATTACTATATTATTATATTATTATATTATTATATTGTTATATTATTATATTACTATATTATTATATTATTATGTTACTATATTATCATATTATCATATCATAATATCATCATATTATTATCACATGAATTATTTAATTGATTCGCCAGTTCTCATTATTCGCCGGCTATCCGACGTTTCTTCGGCCATCGCGTATCGATTCCTTGTACGACCATACGACATTACTGTAATTAATGCAAATATATGTCGAACTTACGAACGGTTGATCGATGTAAAAGGGCGTCGGGTAATGTATTACGTTTGCACTTCCGACGTGGACGATGAAAATTTCGTTATTACAACTATCCATATGCGATACAATTATCCGCGTACACGGCGAGTTGATACTCTCCCTCTGTGGTATATGTGCAATATCGACGATAATAATTAGTTGAATTGCCATTTCGTTAAAATATCTATATAATTACACATCTATATATATATCTATATATTATATATANATAATATATATATATATATCTATATATTATAACTAATTTCTGAGAGAGAGAGAGAGAGAGAGAGAGAGAGAGAGAGAGAGAGAGAGAGAGAGAGAGAGAGAGAGAGAGAGAGAGAGAGAGAGAATAAATCGCAGATTCAAGTGGAACGTATACAAATGAAAAATTTCGTTCGATGTTGTTCCATGATAATTTGTTGCAACTGTATCAATGATAATAAATTTTAAGAGGACGATCCATTTTTCCAATGTTTTCTTAATTTACTATTTAACGATATCTTGTTATTTCTTCGACTGACTGTTTTCGATAAAATCGATGCAATTTCTTTTGTCGAGGATCTTTAAAGCTCGAAAGATATTCTAATGATACGTAATTAAGATCAAAAACAAGGATCATCTGTTTCCGGACATTTTAAATCAGAGCGCCATTTTCGATAAGTGGCGCCGATCGCGGCGAAATTTCGAACTATAATTAAGGGGTCCGTACAGCGCCAAATCGTGCAGTGGCAAAACGCCCAAACTGTTCGCGAAATACCGACTGAAACGTTGTACCATTTCTCCGCTAGATGGCACTGGCAGTCAATTCTAAGGAAATTTACCGACTGCGATCACCCCGGTGATAACTGTTGGTAACTGTCGGTAATTTGGCCAACAGTTTGGGCGTTTTGCCGCTGCACAAAAATGGCGCTATTCTGCTGTTTGCATACAGCAGAAAATTCGTGCCGGAATTTACATAGTTCCTTATGGGAGAAGCGGTACGAATCATTCGCTCGAGTTTTCAATATTGGAACATAAAACGGAAAATCGTTTGTAACTAATTAATTGCAATGCGAATACGGGGAAAATGAGTGGAATCACTTAGTTGGAGCCCTTTTTCAAGCAACTGGCTCTTCATCTTTCTGCTGAATGGCTTAATGGCAGAATAAATAATCAATATTTGTTCCCACTTAATCCTTTGCACTCGAAACCGTTTTAATTCTGAATGCAAAATGATTCTCCGACTCATTTGCGTTTCATACGACTTACTGCATTTTGTGCATGCAAAATTGAATCTTGTGACTCATGCAACAGTCACACATTTAACAATTCTTTACGCCTCAGAGTCGCCACTCGAGCAGAGGTTAATAGTTAAGAACGAATGAACGATTATGTATAACAATTCGTATTATTTATTAACAATCAGCAATTAATAGTTATTTCCAAAAATAAACAATCACGTTGAATAGAAATATAGAATCATTTTTCAAGCTTTATAGCAATATACGATGTCTTAAAAAAAGCCCTTATCGCCCTCTATGTGCGTGCATTTGTTGCTACGTATTTGTTCGGTTAGTTCCGTTCGTAGAGAAAACGTATTAGGAAAATGTTGTTGGTATTACATCAAGGATCCGTGGCCAGCCATATGTCGGATGTACAATCACCTCCAGGGTATCTAAAATATAAATGATTAGAGTACATTTCCGGAGATTTATTACGTCGTGTATATAAATTAATAATAATTCGGAATAAAATCGGTATAGAATCGGAATAGAATCGGAATAGAATCGGAATAAAATCGGAATAGAATCGGAATAAAATCGGAATAAAATCGGAATAAAATCGCAATAGAATCGGAATAAAATCGGAATAGAATCGGAATAAAATCGGAATAGAATCGGAATAAAATCGGGATAAAATCAGAATAGAATCGAAATAGAATCGGAATAGAATCGGAATAGAATCGGAATAGAATCGAAATAGAATCGGAATAGAATCGGAATAGAATCGGAATAGAATCGAAATAGAATCGGAATAGAATCGGAATAGAATCGGAATAGAATCGAAATAGAATCGGAATAGAATCGGAATAGAATCGGAATAGAATCGAAATAGAATCGGAATAGAATCGGAATAGAATCGGAATAGAATCGAAATAGAATCGGAATAGAATCGGAATAGAATCGGAATAGAATCGAAATAGAATCGGAATAGAATCGGAATAGAATCGGAATAGAATCGAAATAGAATCGGAATAGAATCGGAATAGAATCGGAATAGAATCGAAATAGAATCGGAATAGAATCGGAATAGAATCGGAATAGAATCGAAATAGAATCGGAATAGAATCGGAATAGAATCGGAATAGAATCGAAATAGAATCGGAATAAAATCGGAATAGAATCGGAATAAAATCGGAATAAAATCGGGATAAAATCGGAATAAAATCGGAATAGAATCGGAATAGAATCGGAATAAAATCGTAATAAAATCGCAATAGAATCGGAATAAAATCGGAATCGGATTCTCGAGCCAACAAGAGTAACAAGCATCGTCTTACCTCATTTCGTGTGCAAGCAGCACGTCACCCTTATCCTCGCCGAAGTCAACTAAAAATTGCTCGTCCAGTTTTAGGCCACCGTTCTCCACGTCCACGTCCAGCTTGACCATTACCGAGCCGTTCCTAAGACACCGAAGAAGCATCGTACAATCGTACGATACAATAGCGTACAGTAAAATGTCGAAAGAAGGTCGTACGATTTCAGAAACAAACAAAATATGTAACAATCGATTCTCATCGTACTTGACATGATCGGGATAAAACTGTTGGTCCCACGGCTTGAAGATGGAGGTGGACACGTAGAGGCGCGTCCCGTCGAGGCTCAGCTGAAGCATCTGCGGCGACCCGTAAAACCGGCGACCCTTTATGTAAACCGGGCTCGGTTGTTCCGTCATTTCTTCGTCGCGAATCACCCGAACCTTCGAGTCGTTCAGGATCGATCCGCCGAGGAAGATCTGACCGGTCAGCTTTGGATTCCTCGTGTCGGTGATGTCGTACTGTCTGACGTCCCCGTGGAGCCAATTCGAGAAGTAGAGATACTTGTCGTCGAGGCTGATCAAGATGTCGGTGATCGTGCCTGCGAGAAAAGAAATCGTGCCTCAAAAAAAAACGAACGAACGAACACCGTTCTTAGAAAATACAGCGAATTCTCCCGGATTGTCCCTGTTGGAGGACGCCGGTTAATTCCGTGCCCCGGTCGAAGCTGTACATTTTTCATTCCAATATTTTCCTCTGGTTGTTAGGGAGAATTTACTGTAGCCAGTTCGCAGAAAATGTCAAGGTTACCTGCCATTTTAGAGTCGACCCAGCCTTCGACCTCCTTGTGAGGCACTTGAATCACTTTTTCGGTCCGCCATTCGCCGTCCGCTGTCTTGTAGAATCTGTGAACGTTCGAGCTGATCGCGCATCCGACGAATCCTTCGCTGGCTTTCGGATCGTGCAGGAACCTCACCTCGAGCGGAGCGATCCCGTCGAGGCCCAGATTGATCGTCTGCATCAACTTCCGCTCGCTCCACGAATAAAAGTTCATGCTTCTGCCGTACAGCTCTGCGAAACAGGGATCGGGCGAGCGGTGATCGAGCGCGAAGATCGAATATATATAATGTAATGTAGTGCAATATAATGTAAATGTAAATGTAATATAATGTAATACAATGTAAATGCAAATGTAACGTGTAATGTAATGTAATGTAATGTGCAATGTAATGTAATGTAATGTGCAATGTAATGTAATGTAATGTACTGTAATGTAATGTAATGTACTGTAATGTAATGTGCAATGTAATGTAATGTAATATACTGTAATGTAATGTAATGTACTGTAATGTAATGTAATGTACTGTAATGTAATGTGCAATGTAATGTAATGTAATATACTGTAATGTAATGTAATGTACTGTAATGTAATGTAATGTACTGTAATGTAATGTGCAATGTAATGTAATGTAATATACTGTAATGTAATGTAATGTACTGTAATGTAATGTAGTGTAATGTATAATGTATTGTAATGTAATGTAATGTAATGTGATGTAATGTAATGTAATGTAATGTATAATGTAATGTAATGTACTGTAATGTAATGTAGTGTAATGTAATGTAATGTAATGTATAATGTAACGTAATGTAATGTACTGTAATGTAACGTAATATAATAATTTGACAAACCTGGATCGGAGCCGTCCGTGGTCGCGTACCCTCGTTTGAATACTCTCGGCACGCCCCATTCAGTGGCGACCAGCACGTCGTGATAAGGCTGGTACCAAAAATCGTAACCGAAAGCTGCCTTCTTCCCGCCCTTCGTCCACGTGCCCTTCACTTCGAACGTCTCCGAATCGATGCAAAGGAATTCGCCCTGCGCGTCGTCGTTCGGCTTGCCCAGGGTGGAAATCATTATGTCTCCTGTCGGCGCGCAATGGCTGGTGTGTAACGTGGATACCCCGTGTTTGTGTACCTCGGCCGGCGACAATACCTTGTCGCAGAAACGAGAGGACACGATAGAATAGAACAGAATAGAACAGAATAGAATAAAGTAGAATAAAATACAATAAAACAGAATATAACAGAATAGAATAAAATAGAATAAAATACAATAAAACAGATTAGAACAGAATAGGACAGAATAGGACAGAATGGAATAAAGTAGAATAAAATACAATAAAACAGAATATAATAGAATAGAATAAAATACAATAAAATACAATAAAACAGAATAGAACAGAATAGGACAGAATAGAATAAAGTAGAATAAAATACAATAAAACAGAATATAACAGAATAGAATAAAATACAATAAAATACAATAGAACAGAATATAACCGGATGAAATAAAACAGAACAGAATAGGATAGAATAAAACAGTATAAAATAGAATAAAACAAAATAAAACAGAATCAAACAGAATGGAATATAACAGATTAAAATAGAGCAGACTAGAATAGAACAGAACAAAAAAGAATAGAAAACGATCGCAACGTATCAAACCTTCTTGATCGACGGTGCCCGCTCGTTGCTGGTATCGATGAAATAGACCCGGTCGGACATCAGAGTCGGGAGCACAAGAACGTCTCGTTTTCGCGGCTGATCGTGGCAACTGCTGCAAATGTTCCATCCAGAGTGGTGCAACTCGTCGCCGACGTGAAGCATCCGCAATTTATGAACGATCTGGCCGTGTTTTTCAAAGAGAAATTAATGCTCGATCGATCGTATTTCGCTTGACAATTTAGTTCGACTTAGTTTATATATATATGTACCTTGCAATAAGTTGGGCTCTCTGGATCCAGATCAACGGTGGAAAGAACGTCCGGTTTCTTCGGGTCCGTGTGCACGCACACGACGTACATAAGCTTTTCGCGGGGGCCCTCGGTCATCGCTGCTTTCGGCGAGACGTAGCCTGGACCGGCGCAACTCGAACATCCCGACTTCGATACTGTTGGTCGGTAATTTTATTATATCTATATCTATTATATATCTGTATCTATAGCTATATCTATATCTATATCTATATCTACATCTACATCTACATCTACATTTACATCTACATCTACATTTACATCTACATCTACATCTACATCTAAATCTATATCTATATCTATATCTATATCTATATCTATATCTATGTACAGAGTGTGTTCCATAATTATGCTAATACCCGGAAACGATACCTGAGGTCATTTGAAGTAACTTTTTCCTTAGCGAAAATGCAATCCACGGCTTCGTTTAAGAGTTATTAACGAAAAACACTGACCAATGAGAGGCGAGATATGCTGGCGCAAGGCGGCCGAGCCAATGAGCGGTCGAAATCCAGTCCCGCTGATCGGCTCGGCCGCCTAGCGCTGGGCGGTCGCATCCCCTCTTCCCAAATTGTTCACTTTTGCGCGCAATCTGAGCGCGAATTAGGGAGACATTAGTGTACAAGGCTCGAATAATCGTATCTCCTTCTTCCCAGATTGTCCACTTTTGTTTACAAGCTGAAGAAAAATTAGGGAGAATTTACTGTATTTACTATTATCGAAAATATTGATAAGATTTTGATAGCGAGTGTACAACGAGGATTTTTATGAAATCAAAGGGCTTCCTTTCAAATGTATAACAAAATTGATAAAAGTAAATTTGTACTGTTATTATTATTATTATTTGTCTCCCATGTAATACATTAATAATTCGGACGCGATGCTATTTTCTTATCTTCTGTTTTGTACAAGGTGCGTGATTCAGATATCGTGTCACTTGTTATGCAAAACGATTCGTCGTTTCTCGCCGATTGGAAATACACAGATTGTTTGCTTCCAAAAATAACATTTGCTAATATCGACGCATTTTTAATCGAATGTTTTCGCATTTTTATGTCTCCCTAACACTTGGACATTCTGGGGACAATAAATATTTCATACGTGATTTATGGAGAAATTGGAATCTTAATATTTCGTTGCAAATCCGTTTCGTTTAGTAACACCGTTGAACCGAGAACAATAAATATTCTGCACGTGAGTTATGAAAAATTTAGATACCAATATTTCGTTGCAAATCCATTTCGTTCAATAACACCGTTCAGGCTTATTATATGATATATAATATAATATTATAATAATGTAGTATAATATTATAAGAGCGGAGCTCTGTTTGTTCAGAATATTATATTATTATATTATAACTGTCTCTTATACACATCTAGATGTGTATAAGAGACAGTTATAATATAATAATATAATATTCTGAACAAACAGAGCTCCGCTCTTATAATATTATACTACATTATTATAATAATATAATATTCTGAATAAACAGAGCTCCGCTCTTATAATATTATACTACATTATTATAATAATATAATATTCTGAATAAACAGAGCTCCGCTCTTATAATATTATACTACATTATTATAATAATATAATATTCTGAATAAACAGAGCTCCGCTCTTATAATATTATACTACATTATTATAATAATATAATATTCTGAATAAACAGAGCTCCGCTCTTATAATATTATACTACATTATTATAATAATATAATATTCTGAATAAACAGAGCTCCGCTCTTATAATATTATACTACATTATTATAATAATATAATATTCTGAATAAACAGAGCTCCGCTCTTATAATATTATACTACATTATTATAATAATATAATATTCTGAATAAACAGAGCTCCGCTCTTATAATATTATACTACATTATTATAATAATATAATATTCTGAATAAACAGAGCTCCGCTCTTATAATATTATACTACATTATTATAATAATATAATATTCTGAATAAACAGAGCTCCGCTCTTATAATATTATACTACATTATTATAATAATATAATATTCTGAATAAACAGAGCTCCGCTCTTATAATATTATACTACATTATTATAATAATATAATATTCTGAATAAACAGAGCTCCGCTCTTATAATATTATACTACATTATTATAATAATATAATATTCTGAATAAACAGAGCTCCGCTCTTATAATATTATACTACATTATTATAATAATATAATATTCTGAACAAACAGAGCTCCGCTCTTATAATATTATACTACATTATTATAATAATATAATATTCTGAACAAACAGAGCTCTGCTCTTATAATATTATATTATATACATTATAATATTATATTATATACATTATAATATATTATAATAATATAATATTCTGAACACAAACAGAGCTCTCCGCTCTTATAATATTATAATATATTATTATAATATTATACTATATATAATATTATAATATAATAATATAATATTCTGAACACAAACAGAGCTCCGCTCTCCCTTCGGTTTCGTTTTTCAATTCACTTGTCGAACTTGCTGGCTTTCTTCTCCGGTTTATAACACAGCGAAGGATAAATAGCAACTGTATTTACCTTTGCTTTCCGCTGTCCGCGTACTCGCTTTCTTGCTACGGCAGAAATCCATGCTCCTCGAACCGAGACCGTCGACGCACCACAGGCGGAATGAAAGTCACGATGGAATGTTTCGAGAACGGAATCGGGAGGAAAAAAGAATCGAGTGAAAAGACGATGGTAAAGTGAGAGCAGAGAACTGGCGATCGCGACCAACCTCGCGGATCCACGTACGCCGTATGCCCGAGCACATGAACTTACGATGCATACAAGCCATTAACAGCTTCCGACAGCCGACGACGACGTGGAATCGTTTACATATGATAACAATTGTACAGTCACGTACAGATACAGCGACGTTCCAAAAGTGCCGCTCGAAGCGCGCATATCGCTGGTCATCGTTGTGTAACGAGACTCGTTCATTGATGAAAGCAACGTGTGCCGCTGTCAAATAAAGGCGCGGTTGTCCACGCGTGACACACCTGCGCGCAGGTAAAACTGTGTGTGCCTGCCTGTTGCATAACCTACAACAAGCGACGCGCGCGTCTTCTATCCACGCTTTCGTAGCGTCGCGCAGTGACGCGATCGTAACTTCTAGCTAATCGTAACTTCTGAACCGATCAATTTTGCGACCTAAATACGTTAACAATTTTTGTTCAAAGGGAATATTGTTATATTATATATATATATATATATATATATATATATAATATATAATATTAATAATATAATATAATATATTAATATATTTTATTATATAATATATATAACAATATTCCCTTTGAACATAATAATAATTTATAAAAATATATGATATTATATATATATATATATTATATTTGTTTTGTACATAAACAATATAACAGTTGCGTTAAAGGAATCGCAATGGTTTTGTTTTTTCTTTTTTATTGAATACAAAAATCTTTTATTAGCATTTGGTATTGTAACTTGAGAATTTACTATACTAGAAAAGTCACGGATTTTGGAACAGTCTGTCCTGCGCTGATATCGCGGCGGATGACCAAGCGATAATAAACGAGATCTCGCCGTTGATAAAACGCGTCGTGATAGAAATTAGGTGTACAGAATAGTCGACTCATGCTGCGAAGATTACATTTCTGAAGCATCGATAAAGAGACGAGTACCGATAACTCTGGAATTTTTACGTTCTAGCGAAAACCGAGTGTTTCTATACCCCATTTCAGCTAAGTCGTCGAACTTCGATCACAGAGCACGAATGCGGTAGAGGATTTCTTATACCCAATCTATGATACTTCGAATCTGTTTCAAAATACATATATTTCTGAGAATTAGTTAACTTTTCAAAACTCCGATTAAAGCTAGAGAATAGCATTCTATGATAATGCTAACTAGCATTAAATTATGTTGAAAAATTAATGAATCCGACATTTAACTTGAAGCAATGTTATTCGATTCTCAAGCGACACTTTCTGAATTCATTTGTTAAAAAGTTATGCGTGCCCAAAGTTGACGAATTTCCAGTCTTTTTAACATCTAGCGGCGCCGCTGATTGAACTACGCCTATGGACCGAGCACGCATCAATATGGCGCGCTAACCTGTCAAAAACGTTGGAAATTCGTCAACTTCGGACGCGCGTAACTTTTTAACAAATGAATTCAGGACTTATTTCAATTACGTTCCTATATATAGATTCGCGCGCGGGACTTCGATTTTCGGACATTTCCCGACGAAATCCATCGGAACGTACGCTGGAAAGCCAAAAAAATAGAAACCCCCAAAGTAAAGTTTAGCCCTGTGTATCGTCAAATATTTCACACGCGACCAGCTCACTAGAATCGTTCCAAGCGACGCAATGCCTGACAAATTTTCCATTATTCAGTCTACCAAAAGCTTCTACAAATCCTCCAAAAAATACCATCGACAACCAGCAATCAATATACATATGTATGCACTGGTCGCAGCTCCGCCGATAAAACAGCGACCCGTAAAGCGACAAGAACGAGCGAATGTTAAAGATTCCAAAGCGCGAATTTCAATATCACATAAATATTCTCCGCGGAAACGGGATCGAATTCACGGCGACGGTATCGCGGAACAGGATGTCGACCGTTTAAACGCGTGACACCCCATAAAATCCGCGTCGAACACCGTGATAAAAGCGCCCTCGCAACGCGCGGGCTCATCCCGCCTGCTCGCAACGGTCGATAATTCAGGGGCTCTCCGACACCGACGCGCCGATAAATAACAAATAAAATGCCCGCAAATATTCCACGTCTCCGAGCCGTCCGTTCGAAAAATCAATCGCATCGGTTGCAACGTCTATTCGGGTCGCAGAGAATTGATCAAACCCGATTTATTAAGCATAATTCCGCTCGTTCGGCGAGCCATTCACGTGCAACAAGTACCGAGGCACGTAAGCCCGCGGACGCCACGTATTTTCTGCTTTGTTGTAAACGGAACGACGAGGAAGGAGGCTGGCAACGACCGTGCCGCTCGCAGCGTCGGACGATGGACGTTCACGAGGGCCAGGTTGTTGGGCCAGATCGGGGCAGGTTAGGACAGATTGGGATATAGGTTAGGATAGGTTAGGACAGCTTGGGCCAGATTGGGTCAGGTTGGGCCACATGTTCCCGGTGGTTGTATCGCGTCGTCGACCACCGGTAATTCGTTAGCGCTATCATCGTTAATGTTCAATGCGCACAGGTGCTAAATCGATCGATTGGTTCATCAACCGTGTCACCCCAGTACGTTCTACTTATACCGTTCGCTTTAGCCGTGATCCGACACCGGTCTTAGGATCTCGTCGACGACGGCAACGGCAGAGAAAGAGAGAAAGAGAGAGAGAGAGAGAGAGAGAGAGAGAGAGAGAGAGAGAGAGAGAGCGAACGAGTGAGTAAGAGTGAAGGGTAGGGGGTAGAGCTTAATCCCTCTCGGTGGACCTGGACCATGGTTGAGCATCGTTCGCGACTGTCGCTACGGAATCAACATACATACGGGCGGCGCGCACTTAACGTACACACTCCGGTACATATGTAAAAGTACTTCCGAGTCCACGCATGAATCCATACACCTCGCGCGCGCGCTGCAGGGGGAGGGGGCACGCACACACCCTTGAAAGTTACACGGTAACGGCGGCGGTGAGCCATGGGGGTTCGCGTGGCTGCTGCGAGGGACGAAGAGGGACCAAGAGAAAGAGAAAGAGTGAGTGAGAGAGAGAGAGAGGGAGGGAGAGAGAGCGCGCACACGCTCGCGCGCGCGCGAGAAAGAGAGAGAGAGAGTGAGCGTGGGGAGAGGGACAGGGAGGCAAGGATCCAGCATCCAGGAGAACGGAGAACGGAGGGAGCGCAAGAGGGAACAGGGTTCTCCGGTGCACGGTGGTGGGCAGAATATTGATCTGTGGGGTGAGCTTCGGGGATGGTGTCCTCGAGCCCTCCAACCCAGGCCACCCACTCTTCCGATCGTTCTTCTCTGTCCCACCAGGGCGCCCGGCTGGCAGCCGTGCCGGTGGTGGGGAGGACGCTAGTTGCGTGGTGGTCCAGTTCGCAGCTTCCCGCGAAATCGTGGTGGGACTGAGCGCCGCGGGTGGGGGCCTCGCGCGCGGAGGTAGGGATGCCGAATGGGACGGGAGGGGGCCGGCGGCAGAGGAGGGTAGGTTGTACCCATCTCAGAGAGCCTTCCTCGCGTCTATATCGCGGCGGTAGCTGCGAGTCGCGAGAGCTCGACCGGCAGCTCGTACACGACCCCGATCGCCTCTCATTTCAGGGTATTTTCAGTTCCGTTTGGGTACCCGATCGCAGAACGAGGCGGTTTTTCTCCTCTTCTTCTCTCTCTATCTCTCTCTCTCTTACGCACACTCTCTATCTTTATCTCTGTCTCGGTTACACTCTCGCACAGTTTTTTGCTCTCTCGCGCTCGCACCGTCGCTCTTTCTCGCTCACGCACATACACACACGTACATAGTCGCGATCACCGAATCTCTCTCTTTCTCCCACCACTCCTCTCTCTCTCTCTCTCTCTCTCTCTCTCTCTGTCACACACAGATATACACACACGCACGCACACACAGAGAGAGCCACGTACACGGTCTCTTTCCCGTTTTCTCGATCTCTCTTCTCCCCCCCTCTCGCTACATCCGCCGAGCTGTTGCCCCTTTGGCTCTATCCGCGCACACGCCTCGCTTCTGTCCGCTTCACCTTTTTCTCGACCGCTGTCTCAGTCTACCGCGAGTCGCCTACGCCTGCCTGTAGACGCCGCAACGTGGTCGCGTGTGAAACAGTGTTTACGACGACGACGACGAGAAAACCGGAGGAGGAGCATCGGTTGGGTCCGACTCGTTCACCGAGACACAGTAGTTCTCTCCCGGTGTGTCGGAGTGCCCACGCCGCCGCCGGCCTGACTGTCATCCCCGTAGAGCGGCCGGTGCTAGCGAGCCGAGCCGAGCCGAGCGGAGCTGAGCGGAGCTGAGCGGAGCCGAGCGGAGCGGAACGGACCAGCGACCGAGCCGACGGACCAAATACACATACGCGCGCACACATAGACATATACACACAGGCACATACATACACACGTATATATTTCCCTTGTATCTCGTGCGAGAGAAACGCGCGTTCTCGCCGGAGTGATCGAGCGGAGCCGAGCCGAGCCGAGCCGCGCCGAGGGTCGCGCTGCTATCCAGCAACAGGGTAGCGCGTACGGTACCGCGGCCGCGTCGTGAACCGCGGGCACCATGGCAAGGTGATATGCCAGCGTGGACCAGGGTCATCGTTCCGATTTCCACCGTGGACCGGGGGATGTGATCGACGGCCAAGAAGAGGGTGGCGGCGCGCTCGAAAACACCACCGCACACACACACACATACACACAGACACGCGCGCGTACGACGAGCGGGAGAGTGAGACAGCGCGGAAGAGTGAGACGGCGAGAGGGAGAGAGAGAGAGAACTACAGTGTCAGAGAGAGAGAGAGAGAGAGAGAGAGAGCGAACTACAGAGAGCAAGAGAGGGAGAGAGGGAACCAGAGAGAGAACTAGACAGAACTAGAGAGAACTAGAGACAGAGAGAGAACTAGAGAGAGAGAGAGAGAGAGAGGGATCAAGAGAGAGAGGGAGCGAGGTAGAACTCGAGAGAATGGTTTTCTACAGGAGCGAGGGTGGCGGCCGCGCGAGCCACGGGAACGGGAAGACGAAGTGTTCCGCGAGGATCTGATGCGAGAGAAACTCGCGGAAAAGTGGGAGCAGCAGTAGCAGCCAGAAGCAGCACAGCACGCTTGGCCAAGTTGCCTGGATACGGGCAGCAGCACCGTGTTGCGCTCCGCTCCGGTGAAGTAGGAGGCAGAGCGAAGGAGGTGGAAGGTGGTGCTAATACCTAAAAGGATGGAGGATCCGGTGGACAGTGGTAGAACGAAGAAGACGATGCACGAGGCCGATCAGCCGCCGAACGCAGGCTCGTGGTGCGTCCAAGAGCCGCGATAGCATAACCGTGCGTCCTCTCCTCGGATAGGATCCCGTATGATAACAGTGCCGCGACGACGACGACCAAGGTGCGACCCGACGCGGCCCGACGCGTCCGATCCCGAGAGCGGAGCCCAGTCGTCGGCCAGCAGCGCCCGGCCCCTGCGATAATAGCCTCTTCTCTCTCGTCCGAACGGGGGGGAATCGTAACGGCGTTCTCATAGTTTTTCTCATCGACGGGGTGGTCGACGAACCTCGTCGCGCGGTGATCCGCGGGGATCCTCGTTCGTACGTTCGTTCGTCGCGTATCCATCCACCGGCGGTGGATCGCCGATCAACGGATTCTCGGCGGATCCGAGGGTGCGAACGGACTTGAGGAGCCAGTGCCGCACGCCGCGGATCGGGCGACCGTTCGTGCCGGATCGCGGGTCGGTCGGTTCTCGTCGACGGATCAGTGCACGCCCGGTGGGTGACAGTGATAAGAATATCGTGTCGGCGCGGCGACGCGTCAGCACGCCGGCCGCCGACGACGACGACGACGGCGACGACGGCGACGACGACGACGACCACGGAGCTAGCCAATTGTTTCGTTCGAGTGCGGCGGACCGGTCTATCGCGACACACGGACACCTGTGCGAACCGGGAAGATTCGCGGGGAAACCGCGTCCTCGTCGCCTGGCCGCGGACCGGGCACGGCCGAGACCGCCCGGCGCACCGGTGCCCTCTTAGCGAGACACGATACACGGCTCGGCGACGATATTCGTCGAACGATTGTCGTAGGTACGTTCGCAGTTCGGAACGATAGAGAATTAATATGTGGCGCCGTCCAAGTTCACCGAGACGCGGCGCCGTCCGGCTGGGAAAAGTGTGAATCCTCCGATGCGGCGACCAAGCCGATCCCCCGGTTTCCATGTTCCGTGACCTTTTCTCGCGGCCACCCGGACGCGATCGCATGTCGCGCGAATCGCGATCCCGGATATTCGCTTCCCGCGATCGGATATCTTCCCGCAAACGGAATCGCGACGGACGCCCGGACGACCGGCGGACGTGGAACTCGGCGACCTCGGTGATCGAATTGCTGGTTAGGCCAGCCGGGATGTCGTAGTCGGGGATCGTTCGAGTGACTCTTGTGGGGACAGTGACGGGTTTCTTGCGGATGGTTTGGAGATACCGGGTGGAAAGTAGGAGGGAAATTTTGGTTGACGAATGATCGGGGTTTTAAGAGATTCTTCAGCTCGAGGATTATTTAGTAGAACTTGATTTGGGTCGTTTTGATTTGATCTGATTCAATTTGTTTAGATTTGGTTCAATTTGGTTCAATTTGATTCGATCTGGTTAAATTCAGTTCAATTTGATTCGATTCGATTCAATTTGATTCGATTTGGTTCAATTCAGTTCAATTTGATTCGATATGGTTAAATTCAGTTCAATTTGATTCGATTCGATTCAATTTGATTCGATTTGGTTCGATTCGATTCAATTTGATTCGATATGGTTAAATTCAGTTCAATTTGATTCGATTCGATTCAATTTGATTCGATTTGGTTCGATTCGATTCAATTTGATTCGATTTGGTTCAATTCAGTTCAATTTGATTCGATTCGATTCGATTCAACTCAATTCGATTTAACTGAATTCAATTCAATTCAATTCGATTCGATTTAACTGAATTCAATTCAACTCAATTCAATTTAACTCAATTTAGTTAATTTAACTTAATTTAATTTATCTTGATTTATCTTAATCTAATCGAATCTATTTAATTTTTATATACGGAAAGAAAATCTATTTTTCGTAATACAGAACTAAAGGCTAATAATATATAATAATGAACACTAAATATTAATATAATACAGAGTCTGGGAGTCAGCGGTTTTGGCGAACAATTTATCTAAACTTGTTTCGAATTGTGTGGTCATTGGCTGGAAATACGACTAATTTGTCGCTATCGTCGTTAACGATTTAAAGTATCCTGTAAAAATAATGTGTGCCGCCTCGTGACAACCGCTTCCAACGAATTGTTTTTAGTCGGTGCACGTCTTCGCGATGGGTACAGTACCTTGCCATTCGCAGCGCGATCACTATTGCCTCGAACGACTGTTCTCCTCGAAAACATATCGCGATCGAAACACGATATTCTAATTGGAATTGCTAAAGGGTAACGTTAATTGTTTCATCATGGAAGAAACGATGTACAGATTGACCGTGTTAGTCTTCGTTCGTTCGTTAGATTTCGATACGCCTGTGGAGAAAGATTAAGAAGAAATGTGAAACGTGGATTTTGGTGCACTTTTGGCGAAATTTAATATAGAAGGAAAATTAAAAGAAACGTAAAATGTGGATTTCGATGCACTTGTGGCAAAATTTAATACGGGAGAAAGATTGAGAGAAATTTGAAATATCAATGCACCATTTCTGATCCATTAAAACGATTGAACAGCGAACGAATTTGCTATTCGGTTTCCGTTTCTTGCAATCGACGCGGACAATTTACATTCTCCGTGAAAATCCGCGATTTTGAATTACCAAATGGTATCATTGATCGTTTCATCGTAGAAGAAACGATTTACGGGTCGACCGTGTCGGTCTTCGTTCGTTCGTTAGATCTTTGTACACGCGCGTCTTCCTTTGGAAAGCCAATTCCACGATGCCAGTCTACGCGTGCCACGATCGCGTTACAGGAAAATCGTTAGCTTCGATCGAATGTAATTCTTGCCGGAATTTCATTCGCGGAATATCAAGCGCGACGCGATTCATCGCGCATATTTCGCCTGTCGCGCGATTCCAAATGCGACGATGATCTCGGCAACTTTCGTTAACATCTAATCGACTTTGAATTCGATCGTTTGTCTCGCGAACAAACGTTCGGATCGGTTTATTTCTTAACGCGGCAGGAAACGAGAATCGTTGTTCAACCCTCGGCCTGCTGGTGCCGGGTCTTTTGCGACCCGACGCATTTAAACGGCCGCCTCGTTAGTCGATTACCGGAAATTGTACGAAATAAATGGCTGTTCCACCGGAGGGGGGGAGCAACGGAAGACTAACGAGTCCACGGTGAAATATCTTCAGAAATGTGTTTGGAAAAATTGTTGAATAAAGCGCGGAATTGTTACGAACTTCGTCGATTGTACAGCTGTGAAAACGGTCCGTTGTCCGAGGGTTAACGAACGTAATTCCAAAGACATAAAACCGCGGTCTAATCGTTTTGTAATCGTATGATCGTGGTCGGTCATTTTTACAGCCGAGGAAACACAATGCGAAACGGCGTTCTAATTGGAAACTTCGAAGGGGTTGGTTCGCCATCGAAATATTGCAAGCGAAATTGTGTTCGTGAGTTACTCGTGGTTTTTGGTATATTAATCCTTTGCCGGTGAATGGCGACTCTCGGTAAAAATTATTATATCAGGCTGCCAAATAATATGTACGTTCGTCAACAAATTTGTTAATATTTGAAAAATCGTGTTCAAATCGTTAGAACTGTAAAAATTGTTAGAACTATCAAAACGTTAGGACGGTAAAAATTGCTACAACTGTAAACATTGTATTATATAACTCTTGTAACTGTTAAAACTGTTAAAAATATAAAAACCGTTACAACCGTTAAAACTGTAAAAACTGTTAAAATTGTTGCACGATTGACAAGGCTCGATTTCGCGCGAATAAAATGCGGTAAATCGTGTGAAATAGAGCCGCCATAAATCAGACAAAAATCTATTTCGGATTCGCAGTTGGGACGGCTTCGAGTGCGAAGGGTTAAAGGATATCAATTTCACCATTTGTTTTTCGGCTGAAAAAAGCTGTCGGGAACGGTGTATGAAGCCGCTGGAACGAGTAAATATCGAGCATATTTTATGGGGATCGTTAAAAGTAAAACATCGAGGGGAAATAGAGCGTCGGGAGGGGCGGGGGAGTGGGGGGATGATGATTTACGTTGATACTTCGACGCGCGGATTTGTTCTATTAAATAGATTCGCGGAAAAGTGAGAGTAAGTTTCCCGGTTTCGATGTGTGTTCCACAGCGAGGAAACGCATTGTGCTCCCCTAAAGCGGTTAGTAGTATGGGTCAGCCATATGTCGGACCAGTAACCCACTGCGCTCCGGCACAGAGCTATTATAAATGCTCCGCGATACTTTCTGACTTATTTTGCGTTTATCGTTTCGCTGGTCTCCATTTCGAATCTTCCGCGTGTTAACGTAAATTCGCGTAAATTCCACGGGGAACCGAAAATATTGAAAACGGCCATAACATTGACATAACCGAAAATATTGAAAACGGCCAGTGGTTCTCTTGAACGGAATGAGATAAACGTTGTTACAGTTTCAAAAGTCGATTACAACAAGGGGTTATTTATTATTATTATTTATTATTCGAACGGTGAAAGTATTTTTTAATTGACATTTTAAATTCGTTCCAGAAAAATGTAGAAATCGGCAGGCATCTGCAAAAAGTACTGTTCTTTTGTTCAGACAGATTTTTGCATTCTTTGTTAATATTATTTGTCGAGTAAAGTAATTATATATTTTGTAGAATATAAGTAAAGTGAAAATGAAAATATCGAGTACGTTAAAATATTAACACGTAACCAGTGCAATATTAATTGAAGAAATTCTTATCTTTATTCCTATACATTCACAGTATTATTTACATCTTCGTCTGTGCATTTAAATTATCCGGGCGAGCAATTATTTATATCTGTAAATAATAAATAATATAAAAATAATGTGTAATATAGAAATAATAAATAATATGGAAAGAATAAATGATACAAAAATAATAAATGATGTAGATATAATAAATAATATAAAAATAATATACAACATAGCACAAAATCCTCGGAGACAGTATAATAAATTCTTCGTGCAAATAAATAGGCGCGCAGGTGCGTAAAATCTTCGATACAGTGTTCCCTTATTAAATTGGAATTAAAGTAGACTATAGTTGATCCAAACTACGACAGACTTTGTTCTACAGGGCGGAGCATCTTCTACCCCGAAGAGAACCTAACTCAAACTCCGAGCAACATTCCATTGAAGTAGCCGTAGAATTTTAATCTTCCGTGGTTTTCGGGAACTCAAACAAAATTGAAATACTCGGCCTTTATTAACTCGTTCTTTATAGCGGATCATAGGGGTTGGGGGAGGGGGGGGGGGTGAATTCTCGTGTTCTACAGCGACTTCCAACGAATTTTGATTGAAGTCTCGGGTTAAGTTCGAAGAACGCGAAGAAGACAATAATTTCAACCTAATATAACCTAAAATAATTTTAACCTAATAATTTCGCGCGATGTATGACAAAAGCGAGTAGACGAAACGCGAAACATCGACGCCATTGCGAACCGAAATCGATCGAATTTTCAGCGTCACAGGTTCGAATGATAAAGTTAAGAAACGAGGGTTTCTAATATTTTCTTTTCATTCCAAGCGATAGCAAAATTAAGAAAGAAAGCTTTTCAGCCATCGTCTAGTAATCTAGTCCCTCTGTCATCTAAAAAAGAAAAAAAAAGATTCAAGCCGATCAGTTCAGTTCTGAAAAAGGCGTTGTAAAAGGCGTCGTTCAATTTCATATCTATACCTAACACTAACACAAACTACACGCACAATAAACGAAGAGCGCAGGAAAAATCGAATGCTAATTAAATCGAACAATTGATCGAATCGAATTAAATCGAATGCTTATTAAATCGAACGCTAATAAAAGCTAAAAATTCAAATCGCTGCTCTCACCTGTTCGTTTCATCCCTTTCATCCTCAAAGTACCCCAAACATCTCGAAACATGAGAACACGTTTTCGTCTCCGCTGAAATTCCAATTCGAACAGCCGAAACTCGCTACTTCGTATTCGCCGTCGCACGAGATACCGCCATTACACCGCGACGAGTATACTCGTCGACACACGGCCGACCGGTAAAATAGAAAAATCCGGCCGGAAATATCGCGCGCGACCCCTTGAATCGCGTAATCACCGAGCACATAATTACGTCGCGGATAACGGGGTACACCGGGCGGCGAATAAAAAAGCGTCATGGAACAACGAAACCGGGGGGGAAGGGCGGAGGATCGGAGAGGGTCGTTTGGATTCGATTAGGTTGGCCGAACGAAACGAGAAGACGGCGCCGAAAGAAACGAAAAAAAAGAGAAAAAGAAAGAAAGAAATAGTCAAGTTCTAACGTAGAGTAAACGAATCTCTCGCGAAAACGAGAGAACGAGAGAGAGAGAGAGAGAGAGCCGGGGGGTCGCTCGCCGGCTCGGTCGAGCCAGTCTGACATTAGGGAACAATTATTTTCAGGAGTTAAACAGGAGCATGCCCGAAGCGTGGGAAAATTCGAGGCGGACCTAGAACCAGCCCAGCACCCTCTGTCGATAGGAGCGGAGGGAGTTCGAGAGAGCCGAAGTTTCGAGCCGAATGTACATTGTCGTGCGCGGAAAGAGATGGGGAAACGTTCGGTTGTGACGGCCGTGTAAGGTTGGCTGACACGCGCGCGGCTAATAAATGCGTCGTCTGACTGGCGAACTGTTTCGCGATCGCACCACGGCCGGCAGCCCGGTGTCATGATTATAATCAGTGAGAGAGCCCACGACGAAGAGTTTCCGGGCGACGTGCGAGACGGTGATCGCAGCTAGAAGTGACACGGAGCCCCGCAGTTAGCGACGCGAGGAAACGAGAGAGAGGGCGAGAGCCAGCCGTTCGGCACACGGGCAGAGAATACGTCGACGACGACGTCGACGGCGACGGGTAGCGGACGTTGCGTCGCGTGGCCGACCTTTTGCGAGATGCCGACCTGGACGAGTCTGCGGAATCCATTTGCCATGGCGAACCAGACGAGAGCTCTGCCGCGGATGCGAATAAAGCTTTGTATGGTCACCGCCGGTCTCCAAATAGTCCTTTTGCTCACCGTTCTACCTCAAGGTAAGTCCCTCTGCTTCCGCTTCATGGACTCTTTCATCGGTGCTTCGACTGTTTTCAATCGGCCGTCGCGATCTGTTTGCGACTGCCACGGATTTGTTTAGGATGAAGGCGACCGTGGTATCTCCATGGTATCTCCGTGGTATCTCCATGGTGTCTTCATGGTGTCGCGCGCGGTGTAACGAGTGTGTTCGTAAAAAGATATCAATAGTCCGTTGGAACACGTTTTAAGCCTTTGCAGCCTCGGATTTGTTTAGAATGAAGGCGACCGCCGGATACCATGTTTATCTCCATGGTATTTCTATCGTATTTCCATGGTGTCTTCATGGTATTTCCATGGCGTCTTCATGGTGTCGCGCGCGGCGTAACGAGTGTGCCCGTAAAAAGATATCAATAGTCCATTGGAACACGTTTCAACCCTTCGCAGTCGAAGCAATTTTAACCGTGAATCTGAAATAACTTTTCTGAGTTATAGTATTTGAATTTTTTTGTACGACAATGTGCAATTTAAGCGTATGAAAAATCCAGACTTTGTTGATATAAAAATTATCTTGGAACTTGGCTTCACCGCTCGAGTGCAAAGGGTTAATACCGTTTGAAACTTTAATCGTATCTCTATTTGGTGAACGCAATTTTTGGCTGGACTTCTACGGGGGTTTCTCTATATTTTTTTAACTTTCCAGTGTACAGTAAATGTCTCCTAATCGACGCTCGATTTGAAAACAAAGATGGAAAATTTGAGAAGTGCAGATACGATTATTCAAGCCTCGCGGCTTATTTTTATAATCTCTGATCGTCAACGATTATGAAAACGAGGCACAAGAGGCTCGAACAATCGCATCTCCTTCTCCCAAAATTGTCCATTTTTGTGCGCGACCTCAGCGCGAATTACGAAGAAATTACTGTATGTATATTCAACGATTTCCAATGCAAGCAGCTTCGCGATTACAATAATTACGGATTTTTAAGCAGCGCAACGAACGTTTATGCGAACGAAGTCCGTTCACATCGGGGATCATTCGGCGTCCGTTTAGGGTTCACGGACACCGATATTTCGATAATCTCGGCGTACGATTTTCAGTTGGAACGACGCGTGCCAGCGTCGCGTAATTCACGTATAGCTGGTTATATTGAAAATGTCGTTGGCAACATGTATAATACATCGTCTCGTCAATCATGATTACGAGCGGCACACGGCCGGTGACAGTGCGCCGTATAATGAAATCAGTCTCACTTCTCTTCGTTACTACCTACAAGTTGAATCGATACGCCGTCACGGCGAAACCGCATTTCGCTTCTCTCCAAATGGCAAACACTTAGTTTTTATTCCGATCGTATCCATCAACGTGTCGCGGGCCCTGCGCCGTTCTCTGTCTGCGGTTTCGCCAGCCGCGGTTTCCCTGCAAGACGCGAATCTCCGCGCTTCGCGTGTCCTCGCAAATTGCCTGGTTCCTTTGTGCGTGCGCGATAGCTCGTCGATAGACTGCGGATTCTGTGCACGCGGGATTAAAAAAAAAAGCAACTGTTGAGGTCGTCGATAGGCGTGTCGATTGTCCCGATATCTTGGACGAATTCTATTTCTGTGCACCTAACTTTGGCCTGTCGAAATAATTAAGAAACAGATCTTCATTAACTAGTGAACCGTTGCAAATAATTATGGCAACCGTTCACTGGTTAATAGAGATTACTATAGACGCTTTCTTAATTACTTTCGCAGCCTAAGCGAGCGACAAGGTGCATAGAAATTGAATTTTTTAAATTTTTTCCCAATTTTTTTTCTATTTTTCATTTCGAACTTTGAGGTATGCTTTGCGGTTGCCATAATTGTTTCAATAGTTCACTGGTTAATAGAGATTACTATAGACGCTTTCTTAATTATTTTCACAGCCTAAAGCAGCGACAAGGTGCATGGAAATTGAATTTTTCCAATTTGTTCCCAATTTCTTTTCTATTTTTCATTTCGAACTTTGATGTACGCTTTGCGGTTGCCATAATTGTTTCAATAGTTCACTGGTTAATAGAGATTACTATAGACGCTTTCTTAATTATTTTCACAGCCTAAAGCAGCGACAAGGTGCATGGAAATTGAATTTTTCCAATTTGTTCCCAATTTCTTTTCTATTTTTCATTTCGAACTTTGAGGTACGCTTTGCGGTTGCCATAATTGTTTCAATAGTTCACTGGTTAATAGAGATTACTATAGACGCTTTCTTAATTATTTTCACAGCCTAAAGCAGCGACAAGGTGCATGGAAATTGAATTTTTCCAATTTGTTCCCAATTTCTTTTCTATTTTTCATTTCGAACTTTGAGGTACGCTTTGCGGTTGCCATAATTGTTTCAATAGTTCACTGGTTAATAGAGATTACTATAGACGCTTTCTTAATTATTTTCACAGCCTAAAGCAGCGACAAGGTGCATGGAAATTGAATTTTTCCAATTTGTTCCCAATTTCTTTTCTATTTTTCATTTCGAACTTTGAGGTACGCTTTGCGGTTGCCATAATTGTTTCAATAGTTCACTGGTTAATAGAGATTACTATAGACGCTTTCTTAATTATTTTCACAGCCTAAAGCAGCGACAAGGTGCATGGAAATTGAATTTTTCCAATTTGTTCCCAATTTCTTTTCTATTTTTCATTTCGAACTTTGATGTACGCTTTGCGGTTGCCATAATTGTTTCAATAGTTCACTGGTTAATAGAGATTACTGTGGATGCTTTCTTAATTATTTTCGCGGCCTAAAGGAGCGATAAGGTGCATAGAAATTGAATTTTTCCGATTTTTTTCCAATTTCTTTTCTATTTTTCATTCCGAACTTTGAGGCACGCTTTGCGGTTGCCATAATTGTTTCAATAGTTCACTGGTTAATAGAGATTACTATAGACGCTTTCTTAATTATTTTCACAGCCTAAAGCAGCGACAAGGTGCATGGAAATTGAATTTTTCCAATTTGTTCCCAATTTCTTTTCTATTTTTCATTTCGAACTTTGATGTACGCTTTGCGGTTGCCATAATTGTTTCAATAGTTCACTGGTTAATAGAGATTACTATAGACGCTTTCTTAATTATTTTCGCAGCCTAAGCGAGCGACAAGGTGCACAAAAATTCAATTTTTCTAATTTCTTCCAATTTTTTCCAATTTTTCCAATTTTTCTTCCCTAACTTTGACGTACGCTTTACGGTTGCCATAATTGTTTCTGCATCAGTAAACCCTTTCGTAAACACTTTGATTTAAGCTTTCCACTCACTTTTAGCACGACGCCATGAAATATTTCCACCGTTGAAATGTGCTGCCACCTATATATAGGTCCCAGCAGCCCTAATTTTGGGGGGTGAAAAATTCGAAATAACAGCGAAGCGAATAGCAGCTGCATCACTATACGATAAAATTACGATAAGTGAACATTCCAATTTTTTGGAAATTCATATTGCGCCCATAGAAAGGGTTCAAGTATTATAAAACAGCGCGCGGGGTGCGCGGCACCCAAAGGGACTCGTCGAAGTAATAAAGCGAACAAAGTCACGCTACCGCGACCCTTAATTAAAATCTAACGCGGCCGTTGACAGCTAGGTGGCACCACTCGACGTATCGCTAAAAAAATAAAGAGACGTCGACTATAAAAAAAAAGAAGAAAGAAACAAATGCCAGGGTGGACCACCGTGGCCGATAATCTCGATCTGTTTTAGAAACCCGGCAATCAAGTTGTCCGCGCCGCTTTGGAATCCCGACCGAAAGCTGTCAATTTTTTGTATTACTCGCGATTCCGGTCAACCCGATCATTGATCACTCCCTCGGGGTAACAACGAAAAATACGGGAACGCGAGAGAAAAAATGTTTATCCGATAGGCCGTCGTGAAGCCCGATCATTTTCACTTTTCCGTTAGGATCGCGGGAGCCGCCGTTCGATCTCATAATTCGTTCGGCGAACGAATTAACGCGGTCGGAAAAGCTCGTTCAAGGTCACCGAAGGTCAGAGATCAGACGATGCAACCGACGGGGCGAGCGATCGGACGTGTCGCGACGATTTCTTTGCAAACAACCGTCGCATTCTCCAACTTTCCGAGAGGATGCAAAACAAGAACGAAACATAAATCGATCTTCTCATTTTGTTGTTGTTGTTGAAGGTGCTCCTGTTTTTTTTTTAATTTGGTACACGTTTCGTCCGCTTCCGCTTTTGCGCGAATCAAAAAGTTTCGATGTTAAAGCTGTAGGAAACAGAAGTTAGATAAAAAAATGTATTTCTTCGTTCAATTACGTCGATGTATGTAGAATAATAATAAGTAAAGAATAAAGAATAATTTCGATCTTTTTTTACAGATATATACTGATTATTTTATATTATTATATTATTGTATAATATATATTACACAATGATGTACATATTATTTAATAGCATTTTTAATAATATATTTAATAATATATATTATATTGTTACATTATATTATATATATTATTTTATATTATTATATTATTATATACTATATATTTAATAATATATATTACACAATAATGTACATATTATTTAATAATTATATAATAATGTATATATATATTTAATAGTATTTTTATAATATATTTAATAATATATATTATATTATTACATTAATATTATAATTATAATATAATAATATAAAATAACCAGTATAT